AGGTCGCCCTCAGGGGAACCTCCAAGACAGGGGGTCGGACTTGACGCCGACGTGGCCCGTTTCCCCTCCCTCCCTGTGGGGGCTGAGGTAGGGGGAGAGTGCCCCCCCACCGGGAGGGGCTCCACCTCCGGCCGTGGAGGGGAGGTGGGCATGGGGTAGCAGGGGGCCCTAACCCGGCCTTTGCCGTGACTATGGACGCGGAGAGGGGACACAGGCTGTGCTAATTTGGGCCGGTGGGGTTGGGGAGGTTGGGGGGAGCTCGAATTCGGCGGTGGCACTGCAATCATGAGACTGTCGTGGGGATAGTCGGCCACGGAGGTGTGGATTTCGATCGGGTTGTTACGGTACAAAAAACAGGATTTATCGCTATAACCGTACTCGGTGATGAGAAAGTTAAGCAATTCCCCCACTGTGCAACGTTTGGGGACCGAAAGATCAATGGTCTCGCCACGTGAGGATCGAACCAGAACGTTGATCTCATCTCGATTGGTGCGATAGCTACTATATGACATTGCCTAAACTAAAATTATTATTATGCCTTAATATATAAGTATATAAATATATCAAATTAGTTGTTGTTGTTGTTGTTGTGGTAACAAATTTTTGAATTGAAATTTATGAAAAATGTTGTTTTTGTTCCTCTTTTTATTTTCTAATGAATGTAAAATTCTACAATTAAAATGTATGGAAGAAAGAAAGCTATCCATTCTCTTCTCGCAACTCAACTAACACTCCTTGGCTGCAGTGCCTTGAGGGAGTAAATGCATACTCAATATAAACAAAAAAGATCGAAGTACACGCAGTAATTCACGTTGCAAGATGTGAGTACCTAAGAGGCTCACCTGGTATTCGATACTCTCTTGCATAACGAACTATTATATTTGAAAAAGACTCATCAGTACTGAGTAAGGGCTCAATAAAGGCTCGGATACACTCCGCGTCCCACTTCTGAGGGGACAATTTAAAGAGTATATCAACACGCGCCTTGATGCGCTGAGGAAGAAGATACTCCGGAAGCCACCAAATCTTAGCGTCTCGGTAGGTTGACAAAGAACTTTGGTAACACACAATATGAGCCCGAAGGAACGTGAGAGCTTCTGTGGGATCGTCTCCCCATGAAAGAAACCCATCGCATTTCAACCACTCGGCAGGGATGCGGCGCCTCCAGGCGTCCCAGAAGGACTCAAAAGTCATCCTAATCGCCAACACGCCCGGCTGCACCTCTTCCAACGAGGCAGACGGGTCAACTTCAAAGACGTGGCCTGCTAAACCCAAAAGAACTTTTGGGATGCTGAATAAGGACCACTTGTCGTTCAGCAGCGGCCCCTCCGAAAAAATATCTTCAATCGCATCACTTGGAATGGTCGCCGTGGGTGCACCATACACGGTTCGGACGACCTGGAGTACAATAGGGAGATATACCGAAGAAAAGTAGTCCGCTAACTGATCCCACGTCGGCGCCTCATCCTCCGCATCCACGTACGTCAATACCGCCTCCAGCGCCTCGCAGAGAATCTTGCGATCAAGCAACCGAACGTAGCCGCGGTGCACGACCGCGCCCATTGCCCTAAGGGCGGTCACTAGCTCCATAGGGCTGCAATCATTCGCGCGCACGAGATCCACAAATGTAAGATGCTGACCAACATTCTTCCCACTAGAAGTTTCCCCCGCGGTTGGGACTTCCCGATCGATCGATTCCTCTGTCCCCATCTCTATTTCTTCTAGGGTTAGTAAGGAGTTTGCTAGGAGGGCATGAGTGCGATGTTGGGGCGGTATCGCGCGCGTTTCGAAGATCTGTGAAAGCGAAGCCACCACCACACTCGCATGGCTCGTCTGGGATGGGTCGGCTGAGGCGACGACGGCGGGTTTTACAGGGCCATCACGCCGCTGGGCGACCAAAATGGAGTTCGAGTACTCAACCCGACGTACTATCCGTGTGTGGGCAGTATCGCAGGCTATCAAAGAACGATCCCCTTTAGCCCACAAAATCATCTGAGGCTTCTTCTTCGCCTCCCCTTCCTTCTCTGAGGGCTCGGAAGGACGCCTATGCCGCTTTCCAACCGACACAGACTTGGAGGAAAGGGTGTGGCGGTTAACTTTGAGGTGGTTTAGCCATGAGCCATCGACCTTAAGAAGTCGATAATTTTCATACTGATCAAACTCAGGGGTTAAAAAAATCGATTCCATATGAACCTTTACCTAATATCCAAAATTAAATTGACAATATATATATATATATAATAATAAAATAGGGAACCAAAGAGTAAAACTCTCAAACGGTGTTAAGCATTAAAAAAATGGCTACCAAAAAGGGGAGCCGATAAAAAATATATGCACCGATAGTATCAAATTTTAGACATAGGAATTCATTGGGTTTTGAAAGCAAAGGAAAAAATTGAAGATTACTCTAAGCAGAATATGACTAATGCATTTGAACACGCCATTAATAGAAAAGGCAAAGAAAAAAAAATCGAAAATTTATTCCAACATTCAATAGTTTTATAATGCATAAAAAGCTTGAATGAAAATATCATAATGAACATTATTCCTAGTATTGGGTCATGGCTAAACGCAAATTTTAAAGTGCAATAAAAATTAAAAAAAATGCAGTATTTTTTTAGATAGAATATCAATCAAGAAGTTGCTCTCAAATTCAGATCCGTTTTTATTGTAATCGGAGTCTACTGAGATCGAATTAACTTTAAAAGATTGAAAAAAAAAGTTCTGTTTTGGGAAATGATTTTGTAAAAAAAAATTCATTTTGAATGCTTTTGTGCTTTATATGAATAAATTTTAGCGATGTGTTTTCGTTACCTGTCGCACACCACACGAAACCCATCCAACAGATTAACAAAAGAGATAGAGCTTCTAAATGTGGTATCAATGATGGTTCGAGAGAACAAATTGCATCTAAAGGTGCTTAGCAAGTATAGATAATGAGTAGATACATTTTACAAACTGATAATTTCAGATCATTATTGTCTTTGAAAAACAAGTCCTTGTGTTTTCATTTCCTTCGTTGTCTCAAGAAAACTGTCAGTATTAAAATAAAAAAAGGCTACAATAAGAAACGTGAATGTAATAACTTAGTTTATACTACACTAAGGAGTACCAAAATCAAAAAATTATAAATTAAAACTATGTTATAACATGGAATAAAGGAAGAAAATAATAATAAACGGATAATTAAGAATAAACAAATGTTAAATATGTGAAAAGTGACAAACAACACAACGAATAGAAACCTTCCATAGAATTATAACAATGGCTTCAGAGTATATGCGTTCACAGACACTGGAAAAAAATGCTAATAGAAGACAAACATCTCAGCAAAGGCTCTTTGAGAAAATATAATGTTATTAAAAAAAATCAACAAAATGAATGAAAAGTTGTGCTTCCAACGAATATATTACAATATGAAGCCACCGAATGCTATAACAAATGATTAAAATTTTAAAAAAAAGAGGGGAATTGATGTCAACAAGTGTGGAAGAAGAAAAAAAGGAAAAAAATCAACAGTAAGAATAAACTTTTCAAGGAAGCCCCTTACAATAATTCTGGAAGTAAAATAAAGCAAACACAACATTTAGTTAAGTCACTATAACACGTTTTCATTTTTATTCTTATTTCTTGAATATTTAGTCGGACGTTATTAAAAATACTTCCTTTTCCTACTATTTCTTATATGTTAAATACTTTTCTGAGTCTTAATGCATCAAGTTCTGTTTGGAGCAAAAAGAGCTAAATTCTAAAGATATATGAATGCCTTCTCAAATATGTTTTCAGTCATGGCATTGATTTATTCCTTAATCGGAGTTACTAAGTCAATTTGGACCTTTTCCTTCAATAATAAATAAAATCATAAGTTACACTCCATATTTTCGGTAGGAAGGATATTATAAATTAACACTTACAGAAGTCAAAACCATGAAGTAAAGCAAAAGAAAAAGGTAACTAGAAATAGATGAAAAAAACGTACTCTTCTGATTAGCACATCTTACTAAAATTATTCATAATTTTCTGAAATCCAAAGATCCTATATTAAAAAAATGTAAAGATAAATTATACGATACTCATACTTACTCACTGAAGATAATACATATATGGATTATGCATGACAGAGTATCTTTTAAGATTAGCTAAATTCTTTTTATGACCTGATGGCCGCAAGAGAGGCTCAGACTCTTCGTTCAAGCTCGGTGATTGAAGCATGCCACTGTACGTGCAGGCGTGTTCTGATGTCAACTGACGCCATCGATTGCACTCGTTGACGCTTCCCAAAGAGCTGCACGGAAAGTTATCGTAGTTAAAACTGTCAGTGAGGTCGACTTGTCTTAAATTATTCACCTTAGACGTTCCCTCAGGTGCGTTTGACGGCAGACTACCAATAGACCGCTCAAGGTGAAGCATCATGGGAGTGAATGATGGGCTGTGCAACGTACTCGTTCCGTTGGAAGGAGTAGGTAAATCAATAGGAATTTCACGGCACAAGTGCAGGAAGTTGCATTCTTCCCCAAAGTGGCAGAGCCCGACCTGATGCTCTCGACAGATCTTATTCTTGGGAAGGTAAATATGGCTACTGACTTTTTGAGAATAAAGGGCCCAAAGGTAGTTTGTCGGGCAGAGCGAATGAATCGAGATGACCGTGCCAGTTGGAAGTTGCTGAAGAGATTTCTGACGAACAGAACGGGAAGGGCTTTTCGCCTCTTCCTTGGGGTCCGTCTCGGCCTTGTTCGTCCTCCCGCTTTGAGCGCTACCCCCCTTAGAGGTGGATGAATTTTGACTTTTGGGGCAATCTTTCAGGGAATCCACCAGGGTGAAGGTGAGTCCGAGAGGAAAAGACTCGAAGTTGCACTTTGCGCCGTGGAGATGGCAGCAGGAGGGGGCGTGTAAGGCCTCCTGTCGGAGGATCTCCACCACGTTGGGGTCCGCATGAACCTGATGGCAGAGGTCGCCCTGACGGCAACGGCCTTTAAGATAAAGACGGCAGAGCCCGGGTACCAACCCATCGTCCCGGAGGGCCTGCGTCGGTTCCGTTGCCGAAAGCATAATGCGCAGCTTCGTGCTCTGACTATCAATGGCGTAGATGTACGGGCACCCATTCTTCGTGGAAGTTTCCGAGCAGATACTGGAGCAAAAACGGTGGGGTTGAAGAAGGCACGCGTCAGATAATTTTTTTCCCGTTCGGGACACCTCTACGGGGGCACTCCGCGTACATTGTGGGCAGTTAATCATAATTAATAAATATGGCAATAAGGAAGCTAGATACTTAAAGCCTATTCCAAAATTATATATATATATAATAATAAAAATGAAATGTATTAACACTTTGAAAGAATAAATCTTAATGAAGTCTTATTCTAATGTCTTCTTTAGATTGGTTGTGCAAAGTATGAGGAAGATAGGTTTGGGGGGGGGGGGGAGGGGGTTGTTTTTTACTATTCCGTCAGTTAAAAGAAAGGATCCACTGAAACAATTAAGAAAATAAAATCAAGGCCGACTTCTTTGTGTTTTTGAATGGGATATTAACCATAATAAAAAATCGCTTAAATTGTGAACCTCACAATTTAAATACGTTTGAAGTGTGATCGTCAAAGCTACCAATAAAAATATTTTCAAAGGGAATGAAATGAAAGATAAAGAAAATATATCTCATTGAACCTAGAAACCGATAAGCGATTAATAATTCCAGATACTCATCTATTGATATTTAAACACATAAATCACCATTTTACTGAATGTTTCATATAAGCTTTTTATTACATGATTATATCCATATACAATAGTAACTATACGAAAAATTCCCTGTTTGAATGATACATATATGTGGAATAAAAAATTATGAAATAGGATAGCTTCTTTTCAAACAAGCAAAATAAAGTAAATCCCATCTATATCTAGTTCCCGTGCATATAACTTCTTAGTGACTCTATAATAAAAAGGAGAAAAAATGTCGCCAAGGCCAAGGCGGAGAAGATGATGCATAGCTACACCGAAATAGGACATTGTGGCGCATTGGCATCAAAGGCATGTGGTGGTGGCTTGCGATGGATCGCCAGCGTTGCGAAGGAGTTTTGATCTTCAGATGAGCAATTACTCAATGCGGCCAGAGTCGTCACACACGATAAAAGCTGTTCGTGTGTATAGATCGCATCCTTCTTTTTCGCGGAGTTCATATGTTTCAGCTGATAATTCCATAGTACAATAAACTGGTCCATGAGCGTGACGTTGGAGGCAACCAAAAGGATGCGCTGAGTGATCTGTTGACGAAGCGCCTGCGGGGTATGACGACACAACTTGCCAATACGGTAAATAGCAGAACGCATAAGGCGTATCAATTCGGCATGACGTCTAAAAACTATGTACCGTGCGGGCATATCTTCATACGGCGGTCGTGACGACGCTACTTTTGTCTCTTGTTTCAAAACTTTCACCTTTATTTCTACAGCTGGATGGATGGCTAGGACCTTCTTTGAATATCCCCCCCTTCCGATTCCGAGCCTTGCGAAGAACCCCGTCTGTTTCGGAGGCTGCAGTGTGGAGATATTTTCTACCACAGAAGTCAATGTATTTCCCCCTTCTGTTGTATCCAGAAGGCTTCCCTTAAAAACCGGCCATGTGCCCGTTTCTCGTAGATAGACTACCGGCAAAACGGTATATCCCGCGCAGTAAACGGTAGAATCCACCCTGGCTTGTGACCCTCCACCAGATTGCTTTTGTTTAATTTCGTAGCAACATTCGACGTAAAGGCGATCCGTACGCGGGCCC